CAATATACATCCCACCATTGCGCCGGTATACAACTAAAGGATGGTATAAGGTTGGGATGATATGGAATTGTTGGAAGAAATATGTTCCTTGGTTACTGTTTTGGGACTGGTYTGTTTCATCAAAAGTATTGAAGTATATGGTTTCAATATTAATAGCATGGAGAGCAACGTTGCAGTACAATCAACTTCCTTTCCCATCTTGGCTTTCTGCCTCGAAACCTGACTGCTATTTTAAAGGCTGTGAATACTTGGATGAACCTAAATTTGGGATTGAATGGAGCTAACATATTATGTCTGGTTCTTAGGTTTTGTCACTGGTGTAACCTCATCCAAAATCAAGTTCAGAAAAGCTAAAARGAAAAAGCTGCAAATTTTTTTGGAATATCATTGAGCTCCTATCAAACAGACCATTAGTATGAAGTATTATAGCATATGCTTGTTATTTACATATTTTGGTTGACTTGTAAAATAACCACACATACTCATGATTCAAGGTCAGACTAATGTTTAAGGATTGTGTTTCACCCGCGCTGCATTGTGCGGGTACACCACTAGTATATATATATATATATATATATATATATATATATTTATTTATTTATACTTACTACCTTATAACGCGTAAAACTCTTAATTACAATCCATAATGTATAAGGTACCGCCATTTTATGCATGAAATTGAAAAAACCATGAATTACAATATGGAAAGCATGATGTATAAGTTGTTAATGCATGGATTTAAATCTGAAAATCTAAGAAGATGCAAAATATACAAGTTATTTATAGACTTATTAGCACCACACCACTGCTACTGAGAAAGGAATCTAAAGAATTTTCTTTCTCTATGCACTCTTCCTTTTCCATTTGATATCAAGCAATTCAAAATTCAAATGGATTCATAGATTTCAAAATTTTGAATCTCTTACTCTAAAATCTTCTCCTTCACTCGTTCTTTTCTCTCAATCGCACCGCATCCATCCTGCTTTGCTGGATTGGCCGATATCGTATGAAAACCCTAAAGATAGGCCCTCGATTCTGATTCCAGTTTATAGCCAGCAAGGAATAGAAGCTTAAAGGCGAGATATCGATCCAAACTTCTTTCACAACATCAATTGGCCTTTAAGCCAAAGTGGTGGCTGGAGCTCCCTAATCGAAGGCATCACTGCAACAAACGAGTCCAACATTGTTGTGAAGCAGCGGCTATGGAGGTTCTTGGAGCGTTGCAATCGGCTTTCATAGACACAGGTACCATTTTCGAATTTTAAGCCTTTGCGGGTTTGGTAGGATATAAAATATGTAGGCATGCATGTAAACTATTTGTGATTTGGCTTATAAACATAAAACTGATTACAAATGGTTAAAACTATATCAAAAGTAGTGCAATAGGAAATGTTTGGTGATAAAAAACTAAAAACATCAATGTCAGATTTGAATTAGAAAGTACTTGAATTTTCAAAATGAAGGGAGAACGTTAATCATGAGATGAGGGAATAAGAATTTGAATTTTTTCTGTTCAGCGGATGGTGCTATAAATATGTACTTCGGTTATGATGTTCTATGCTCAGATGTGGAATGAAAATGCATGCTTTTTTCAAGTATAGTTTCTATGTTTTGAGAAATGCAAGTGAATGTCAATACACATGTGTTATCAGCAAGTCCCTGTATCTGTACATTTTTAGGTTTAGTCTTTTTTGACTTGTTATTTGGAGGGGCTCAAAACTTAGGTTGCTTTCATTTAGTTAGATGGTCTCTTTAGTTGTTTATGAATCACATCAACATATATTTTACTGAAAATTTATATCTTGTATGTGAGTACATGGAGCACGATCTTGCTAGGCTTGCAGCTTCCCCTACGATTGCATTCATTGAACCACATGTATTTGTTGTTTTGTCAAAGCGATTATATGCGCCATAAAACTTCTATCACTAAGGGGCCGTTTACCCAATGCTTACCTGGTAAGTACTTGCGAGTAAGAGTCAACACTTATACTTAACTTACCAGGTAAGATATTAATCTATTAAAATGGCAATGTATACAACAATTTTATCCTGTAATAATCTCACTTACCGGGTAAGACTCGGTCCTTGTCATCGCTCTTACCGGGTAAGATTTTAAATTCTTTTCATTAGGTGTGGCTTTAATTGAAATAGTTAGTTAGTTTTCTGCTTGCGTGTCTTGGCTATTACCTATAAATAGGTTGGGTTGTCCTCATTTGTAAAAATAATCCCAATTTAGAAAATAAAATTCCATCAATTTCTCAGTTCTTCCAAAATTCTCTCTACATCGTTTTCTCTAATTTCTTGACAAATTGGTATCAGAGCGTTAGGGTTCCTTCAAATCACTAATAATTGGTCTCCTCCTTAATCGATTTGGATTTCGCCTTATTATCGATTCTGATTTTGTCTTTGAGTCGCCTTTTTCTGGAATCGTTTTCTGTTGGCAAGCGAGCGACTCAATTTGGTCTACCATTCAAGGTGGAGCTTCTAAATTCTGGAAATTGATGGTGTAAATTGATGGATTCAGCAGTATATTTGAGGAATCGACAACTTCATCGGCAACAACATTCAATTTCTAAAATTCTTCGTTCTAAATTGATTCTTCTACAATCACTTTTGTTGTTGGGTGCTTAATTGGAGGTATTGACTTGTGACCACCAATCAAACTTGATGTTTTGATTTCTTGAATGGTCGTTTTTTGGGGATCAACTTTTGGATTACCGATTTTGGACAGCTAATTTAGAAATTGCCGACTCAATTGAAGATTAGTTTGGATATTTGTTCTTGATTTCTCAGCATTGAATCTCGGACCATAGTTCTTTTCAAGATTTCAGAAAATGCCTCCACAAATGATCAAGATAGACAGGTTTATAGGAAAAAAAACAACTTCAGCTTATGGAGAATTAAGATGAGAGCTCTCCTAAAACAACAAGACATCTGGATTCCATGGCTGGTGAAAGGCATGAAGATATGGCTGAATTTGAGTTTGCACAACAAGATGAGAAGGCTCACTCTACCATCTTGTTGTCTTTGGCGGATGAGGTGATTTATGAAGTTGCCGATGAGGAGACTGCTGCGTCTTTATGGCTGAAACTAGAGAGTCTCTACATGACCAAGTCCTTAACGAACAAGTTGTTAAAGCAAAGGTTATTCTCATCACGAATGAAGGAGGGAATGCCTTTGAAGGAACCTCTTGACGAGTTAAATTCCATTCTTATGGATTTGAAGAATGTTGAAGTCAAGATTGAAGATGAGGATGCCGCCCTCATCTTATTGGTTTCGTTGCCCACTTCATATGAACATTTTGTCAACTCGTTCGTTGTTGGTAGAGACACAATTACTATGGAAGAAGTTCGATCAAGTTTGCACTCATGAGAGTTATGCCATAAAGCTTCAGGAAGTAGTTCCGAAAGCCAATCGGTAGTCTTGTCGGTGGTAAACGGAGATAGAGACAGAGGCAGAGAGAAAGGAAAAGGGAAGTGGAAAAGTAGAGGCCGATCAAGATCGAAGACTAGAGGTCCAAGTGGAAACCCAAGGGATAGCTGTCACTATTTTAAAGATCCGGGTCATTGGAAAAATGAGTGTGCAAAACTGAAGACAAAAGGATCCGCTGCTGTAGCAAAAGATGATTCAGGTACGGAGGCTGATTTGGTGCTCTCGGTGGTTGATTGCAAAAGTTAGTCAGAGGTATGGATTCTTGATTTCGCATGTTCATTTCACATGACACCACATAAGGATTGGTTCAATACCTATGATAAGATTGCAACCGGAAATGTCTTGATGGGAAATGACATGCCGTGCAATGTTGTTGGAATTGGATTGGTGAGCATTAAAATGCATGATGGGACAGTGAGAACTCTAAAAGATGTTCGTCATGTACCCGGCTTGAAGAAAAACTTAATCTCTTTGGGAGTGTTCGACTCAATAGGCTTCAACTACACCGGTGAGGATGGAGTAATTCGGGTCACTAAGGGTGCATTAGTAGTGATGAAAGGAGTCAAGTGAGGTTCCTTTTATGTGCTTGAAGGTAGCATGGTTGTTGGATCAATAGCACCAACCCTTAATCCTGTAGAGAATGAGTCAGATTTGACACGTCTGTGGCACATGAGGCTAGGGCATGTTAGTGAGAAAGAAATGGTAATTATCAGCAAGAAAGGACTTCTTGAGGTCATAAAGTTGCTGAATTAGGCTTTTGTGAGCATTGCATCTTTGGAAAATATCTTAAATGTTCATAAAATCATATTTATCCATGATCTTCCGACCCCAATCCCTCGCCCCCTCAAAAAAAAAACCCTCCGATAATACCAACTCATGTAACAAATTTTTTACCGATCTACTTAATTTCCTAAATCAAAATTCTCTACATTTTGTCTTTGTAGACTCAATACATTAAATGCATCGTAAATACATTAAATACAAACCCGAATGCAGTTAGTAATCTTTTATAAATCATAATTGGTATGTTCATTTACATTTATTCAAATTTTATATCCCGCCGCATTGCACGAGTACACAACTAGTATATATGTGTGTGTGTGAGGGAGAGAGAGATAGTGAATTTGTGATGTATCTATGTTTCTAGACTCTAGTTTAGTAGTTTATTTTATTAGATTAGGTTAGGTTTATTTCATTATTGTTTAATGTTTAGACTTCAGTTTAGATTTAGGTTTATTTGTTTGATTGGTTTGTTTATTTGTGAAGATTGCATAAAAAATTTAGGTTGTTTTAATTGTTTACTGTTAATTGGATAACCGTCTACTGTGTGCAGTTTCTGTGTTTTTAGAGTTGCAATCCAGATGTTCGATGTTTTGTTTGAGTGGGCAGTGGTAGGAACATGATGTAGGTTTAAATCCAGATCTAAGTTCTTACCATTCGATTTCTATGCTACGTTTGGTTTTTATTTTCTGTCTTGTTTCCACTTTTGGCTGATATCCTGCAACTCTATTCGGTTGCTTTCTGCATATTATTGTATTAGCTATATGTTTAACAGCCTCACTGACATCAGCACATGTTTATTTTATTTATCATCAAGCTTTTGCATATGGGTTTTGGAAATTATTGGGCTTATGGTCATGGGGGATAATTCTACATTCTTATTATGTTCGTAACCTTTAATTGTGTAAGCAGCCTTCCTATCTTGTTTGACAGATGTCCAAAACACAAATGAAAAGAAATTGTGATTCGTGTCTTGTTCGAACAACGCCCCTCTCTTCTGTCACAACTCTCGTTCCCTGCCCCCTTCACTCGGCAATCAGCACTCAATCAAGGGCGACGATGCTTGTATAGYTCAGTCTCTGACCACATGATCAAGATCTTTCTCTGTAAGTTGAAATTAAATTTCTAGGGTTTTATTACAGTTTATARGATCCTCATCTGGTTCCTTTTCAAAGATACAATTGAGTAATGGAATTATGCAAGTCTATGTTGTTGTGTGATCATCGATTTTGATTGTCAGATACCCAACTTCCAATATTCTATAAAAACATTTACACATCTGATTTGGAGTTGSGAACTTTCACATCAAGATTCTTGCATCCTCGAGACCACATCAGATTCTTGCTGGCAATCTGGTGTTTCTTTATCTGCTTTTCTTTTGAAAGTGTGAACTATTAGTGTTTGCAAATTGTTGGAAGTGTGTTTATTTCTTTTTCAGTTGACAGTGAAATTTTAATTGTTGGTCATTTGGTTCTGATTATTTTGAGTATTTTAATGCAGTAGGTATCAATCATAATATCTGTTAAATTTGATGCTTATAGTATTCTACAGACAACAGTTTTGCCTAAGGGGCCGTTTACCAAACGCTTACCCAATGAGAGCTTACCATGTCACATACCTTTTTTTGAAAGGGTGTCCCGGTCTGAACCTGGACTAATCCCAACAAACTGTGACTACAAGAAATCAGCCTTGATACACTTATTGGCCACAATTGTTGTGTATGCCTGGAATCTAACCCTGGGTTCGGGTCACCACGTGCGCCAGGACCTCAACCACTACGCCACAACCCTTGTGGTTCGGGTCACTTACCTTACTTGATGAACATGATAAGGACTGAGAGTCTTACCTGGTAAGAGCGGTGGCAAGGACCGAGAGTCTTACCCGGAGGATGACACTCTTACCCGGTTAGTGCTTACCAGGTAAATTGTTGCATACAATGCCGTTTTGGTGGACTGTAATCTTACCCAGTAAGGTAAGTGAGAGTGCTGACTTTTATCGGTAAGCGCTTACCTGGCAAGGGTAAATGGCCCCTAAGTTTCTGCCTAAGTGTGAAATGTGAAGTAATAGTGATTAGTGAATTTGCTTAAGTTTTAAAGTGACGATAACTTGGTTGCTTATATTGAAAATAATGTGTTTGTCAAGGTTAGTAACGAAGATGTAGTTGATATGTTTAAGAAAATAAAAAATCTTCGAGGTCATTGTTGAATCAGTAAAGRTTAGGKCTCGACTTTTGAAATGTAGTAATATACATCTATCTTTTGATTGAAMGTTGGTATTGACATAAAATAATATTATATCTGTTTTTCTATTAAAGAGGAGTAGAGGACCACCCTAAACAGTATTTCTGGGTCCGCCCTTGTTCATAACCTTTAAGTTTATATGCAATTGGGTGTTCTTTGACAACATTAGTGAACATAAAGTTGAGTCTCCTAAAAGTATTTCCCTTTTGATATTTATGTGCCATATGAGTTGTTTTCTAATTTTAGTGATGTAATACTCATCGTTCTCTTCTACGACTTTTTGGTATCAGAATTAGAGCAACAAATGGAGTGATGGTGTTCGTGTGGTGCATGCATTGAGCCATCTGGGATGTACTCATCGTGAGGGCCAAAATTTACAGCTTCACCACGAAACATAATGATCCTTGGAAACGCCTTCAGAACTAGAATTAAAATTACAAACGTGTCTTCAAGGGAGCAAGAATTTTGGCGAAAGGTGGAAGAACTAGGAAATCTTGTCAGAAATTCCTTTTCTCAAAACCTTCTTACAAGTCGAGGGTCTTTATAGAAATAGACTCTACTCCTCAGGGTAGAGATAACGTCTGTGTACATCCTACTCTCCCCTGACTGTACTTCGCTTGGGATTCACTCCGTTTGTTTGGTTTGGCTTGGCTTTGAAAGAACTAGGAAACATTTCATTTACCACCATAATTAGTTAAAATGTTATGCTATCTCAAACGATTATAGACTAGTAAAGATGTGGCTACGTTGTAAGAACCCTGTTCATTGTTTGGAGGCTTTCGGAAAATACTCAAAATCTAGATGGATCCTCCAAACTTCTGGATTGTCAGATACGCCTTTCAAAAAACCGAAGCTTGCACCCCTACAGGTCCCTCTCTATCCCTATTCCTCGTGGACTAGTCCAATAGCTTTTCAACTGCCTTTGTAGCATCTATCTTTATTATGCCATTTAACATTATTTTGTACTTTCTGCTGTTGAAGGAACGTAGAATGATAGACCGTCGCAGGCTGTGGGCTAAAGGAGGAGATGGTGGCAATGGTTGCTTTAGCTTCCACCGTAGTCGACATGACCGCCGTGGTAGACCTGATGGTGAGCAATTATGTCGATAGTATTCTAATGACAAAAATGTAGTATTCATCTCTCCGTGCATAATCAGTAACCAATCATCTTGATCCAATTGATTGTTGTGTTCTTTTTGTCTGTTTGATAGATGTATGATTGATCGATCACAATAATCTTTTTTATCACCACGATTGTCCGGGCCAGCTTGCCCTCACCTCAACTATCCCATGGGTCCTTGAAGTTAAGAAGTTAACTGCCAAGAAAACCTCTAGTGCCCCTAAGGGTGCGTTTGGTATGTAGACGAGAGTGAGGTAGGCGGTGAAAGAATTCTGGTTGGTTGTAGGGTTTTACTTTGCTATGGCAGTTTTGTAATTTACCAATCTTGTTCCATCTCCCTTATGTTTTTCCGCCTATTTTGATGGGACAGAAAAAAAATGCATTTTTGTCCCTCTCAGCATATGAAAAAAATGCATATTTGTCCCCATCAGGTCATTTACCTGTCCCAATCTAATGTCGTGCTGCACATAGAACAAGTTTTTGTACTGTCATGTTCCGCATACCAAACGCACCGTAAGGGAAGGTTTAATTGGTTGAGTTACCTCTCAGGATTCATAACTTGGTAAAATTGTTTTTGGAACTTAGCCTTTCTTAATCTGTGGTGTGTAGGTGGCAATGGTGGAAGAGGCGGTGACGTGATACTAGAATGTTCCTCAACAGTTTGGGATTTGAGCAGCCTGCAACATCATATCGTTCGTTATTTTTTTTCATGTTAATTATCTACTCGCATTTCTACTTAAATCATGTCTCACCAATACATGAACTCACACATATC